GCCTGTAGTGCAGCCCTGGTGGCCATTTCGAACACTTCCCTCACACCATCCTTTGTTTTTGCAGAGCACTCCATGTATCCAAAGGCACTGATCCTATTAGCCATGTCCCGTCCATCCTCCGGTTTCACAGGTTCCTGAAGAGAAGGTCAGGACACGTTTTAGGAAACAGGCTTTCAACACTAGAAGACTGGTTTATGTGTCAGTTTGACATTATTTACCTGCTTCATTTTGGCAAGCTCTCTCCGGGTGTGCTCATCGTTACGCAGGTCCTTTTTATTTCCCACCAGAATAATGGGCACATTAGGGCAGAAGTGTTTCACCTCAGGAGTCCACTTCTCAGGGATGTTCTCTGAAGGAGGGGACAAAAGACACCATCTGTCAGAGCCATAGACTCTATATAAGAAGTGGCCGTAGTCACTGTGACATCCCTTTTTTGTTAAGGGTCGTCTCAAATCCTTGAGTTTAGCATTTTGACTGGCGCCATCTTGTTTTTTTGGAACCAAAAGTGACAAATGAGGGAGTGCTGAACAAGACACTTTAGGCAGCAAAGCATTACAATTAACTTATAGGAATGGAAAACACTGTTAGATTCAAAGTTGTAACACGCAAACTGTACCACACTGTTGTAGCGACCTGCCAATCACAAGGTAGCCCCGCCCTAAAGCATATGCTGCTTCCTTCTGTTTTTCTCTTAATGAACATGAACAAAAAAACATGACAATTTTAACTAGCAATCAAGTCCATAAACTAATCAGGAAACGGTATGACAATAATAAACAAAGTGAGAAAGAGAGTCATTTCCCATTAGTCTTCTATTTCATGTGAAAAACTCCCCTTACTGCTGATTTATTAATTACACAATGTTTGTCCATCTGACCATTTATCAGGAATACATGATATACTATATATATAGAAAATTGATATACCATTTTGAAACCAGAGTCTCCCCCTGCTGGCCATTAGAAAAGATGCAGTTTAAGGCACTTCTGCATTGGCCCATATCAGACCTGGAAGTTGCTGCTTGGTCAGAACAGAGATACATGGGGCTGAAGTGTGCGTGTTGCACATGTTGCTCAAAAATGGAAAATGTGATCAGTGTGTTTGTATGTGTGACTGATGTACAGGGTTGAGAAAAAATGACACATGGTGTGTTACAATCAACAGAGGAGGAGTATAATAACATGCCTTCCTGTGTCCAGCAAAAGTGCAAGGTAAACCTTCTGAGAGCTATTTTTAAAAATCTCAAACTGGTGTGTCTACTTCCCTCCTGGGACAAAAAAAGTTATACCAGTAAATTGAAACTAAATCTTTAATGTGTTCACCGTCTCACTAATCCACAACTGTTTAGGCAGTAAGATTAATTAAAAGAGAAACATGTACCACAACTAATAGCGCTCTGTTTCGACTTACCAAGACTGTCGGGACTGTCGATGGAGAAGCACATGAGAATGACATCAGTGTCGGGATAGGAGAGGGGGCGCAGTCTGTCGTAGTCTTCCTGACCTGCTGTATCCCAAAGAGCTAACTCCACCTGCAATAAGAGGTCACAAGAAATCAATAAGAGGAAGGCAAAGCATGTTCAGGGTGCTTCAGGTCCACATATTTAATGTAACAAAGACTTAGATTAAACGCATGTTGTTGTCTTTGAAACGCACACCCAGAAACCATAATATTTAACAGTTTATCCAAAATATGAACCTAACATGATTAAGAACTGACGTAAATACTAATTTATCAATCCAAACCTGCAAAATAAGTCAACTTTATTGGTATTAATCAACACATCTCATAGCATACAACCTGTTCAAGTTGTACAGATTTGAGGGAGTAAAAAGGGACTTCAATTCAGCTGTAAGGGCCATCATGCTGATTGTAGACTGAAATGTGAAAAGAGAACTACATTACCTGTTTGCTATCAACTTCAATGTCAGCAACGTAGTTCTCAAACACTGTGGGCACATAGACCTCTGGAAACTGGTCCTTGCTGAACACAATGAGCAGACAGGTCTTCCCACAGGCTCCATCTCCCACTATGACCAGCTTTTTCCTGATTGCTGCCATAGCTACAGACAGGGGACAGAAAACATCAAAGGTTACAACATGAAAACACTTTATCAAAAACAACAGGGAGGTAATTAATATTGCATTCAGCATTATGCAACGTCCACCTCTACGCATGTGAGAAACGATGAGCAGTCACCCGTCTTCAGCTGTGTTGACACAACTCGTCTGAAACCAACACCCGGGGCTAACTATTTAGCTTTCAACATCACGGCCTTTTATTGTCTGTCAGCCAGCTATACTGCAGTTTTATACAATGAAGGACACGAGGACAGCATGTCAAGATGTGAGACCGTGCACCTTATGTTGAATTAGGATAACAATTTAAGTCAGACTAGCAACAAACATGATGATACACTTCCGCTTGAGTGTTTCTGACCCACCCCGGGATCAACATTGACAAATTACTCACTAACGTTCACATGTCCCATATAACATGAAGAACAGTGACTAGATTTACCGAAAAATGAACACGTTGCTCACTGGTATCAACATATAATTGTGATTAACTGCCGTGTATGTTGACCTAGTTTTCAGTTAGCTAGGGGGTTCTGTTTACAAAAGACTTAGCTACCCGAGCTAACCAGCTAGCGTTAGCCGGACAGTGCGCTGAGTTTACACATTTATAGTGTTATTCAAAGGTTGTGTTGGATACATGTGCGTTATTTATGTTATAATATATATAATCCCACGGCCTCGTTCGTGGTTTTCAACTAACTTCCCACAAAAACCTCGTTTTAAAGTCACTAACCGGTACGACTAGCTAGCTTGGGTTTTAGCTAGCAAAACGGAAGTCACAGCGACTCCATCGATCCGTTAGCTAGCTGGCTAGCGTCAGCAGAATATAGGATGAAAATATAGGTTAACAAAATACATATAACAATATTGTTGCCAACAAAGCACACTGACAATGTACTGTAACTTAACATTGCTTTTAATTACGTGCTTACCTAATGATTGCTTTAAAATATATCCAAATGATCTCCAAGTAGTGCTTTGTTGGCCTCCGTCGCTGCTGCTGACTGCGCTGCTGCTGGAGGATTAACAGGAGGGAAGTGAGGGGGTGGGGGAGGACAACAACCATATAAATGGAATACATGGTTAAAGCTACGATGGTTATTATTAGCAATTTGTTTTGTTATTATTATACTACCCATAGCCCTTATTCAAATAACTGTTAGAAGCATCTCACATTAATATAGGTCATTCAGACATTATGGTTAAAAGTACTACTTTTGTAAGGTGTGACTTTTTCACATAATATGTTTTTTTGTTTATTTTTATACCCATGGCGAGGATATTTCAGAAATAATTTATTTACAATAATTGTGTGTATATCTTAAAATGTATGGTTAACATGAATGTCCTATCATTATTATTTCTATACATTTGAATAATATATAATACAGAACAGCAACATCATTGCTTGTCTCTAGGACGAAATATCTAAATAACTGACATACTATATTATGGGCTGGGGTCCTTTATACCGCACATTTTCTTCCAGTGGTCCAATGCAACTTTACATTTACTCAGGTACTAGTGTTTTACTTGAGTATTTTCTTTTCATGCTACTTCATACTTCTACTCCACCAAATTTGGTTGGCAGTGTTGGCATTTGTTGTCCTCCAGAAAATTAACTTGTTTGGGTCTCCAGGGCAAACATAGCTGCTGGCCCCTATTAGCAACCCACTGCTTATCCTCTGTGAACTGTGAACATTTTTCCTGTAATAATAATGTAAATGTCCCCAGGCCTGCTGTTTTGTTTTATTTGTTGGTAACAGGATAGACGAAATGTCTCTATAAAATACAAACTACATTTTTAATATGCACTTTTTGACAGCAGACATTTGGACTTTAATCACATGTGTTACAATTAACTTTACAATTGTACATTTTAAATGTCTCAGTAAGTCCTGACATAATGACAGTCAGCAGCCAGGACCCAGAAACTGAGGCAGCCACCTTTTACTGTATTATTTACACCTGTGCCTCTTTTACTCTGACATGTCAAAGTAATTTATGTAAAAACATTTTTTGATCATTAAGAAAAAACAATTGACACAGGATCACAAGATAATTTAAAAACAGGAATCAAGCTGTTATCATGTTAGTGAATATTGTGCTTAGTATGGCATGTTTTCACCCACCTTGGTTGATATTGATCTGTAGTGATGCAAATGATTTACAGGTTACATGTCTGCAGCTCATAACAAAATATATATAGCAAATTCAGATTTTCGGAAACAGATCTGTTTGATTGTTTTAGGTGCACACTAGTACAAATTGTAAAAGTATATATAATAACATATATAAAATGTTTTTCTTTCTATTCTTGTATATTTTGTAGTTTTGTTTTATTGTTAAATGCCTTTTATGCTGCTGTAACTACAACAATTTCCCAATTTGGGATCAATAAAGTACGATCTATCTATCTATCTATCTAAATAAGACACCGAAAGGTGCTTTTGATTTATTTATTTTTTGAATGTGTTATGTTGAGTACACTTTGTTTATATTGTGGTATTTCTACATTATATCAAGTAAAGGATCTGAGTACTTCCTCTGTGGGTTTAATCCCTACAGTTCACGTCAGCTACACATACTCATCTTTATCAGTTGTGCATTTAACAGCAAAACTATTAAGACTGCATGTCAGAAACGTCCATGCTTTCCTGGTAGAGAATGTTATTAGAAAAGTGATTAAAAGATGCTGATCATTTAAGTAAAGACAGAAAAATGATTTAAATGTTTGACAGTGACGGGTTGACACAGGCAGAGAGAGATGATCTGCTCTCAGTTGGTGCAGCGGTGTATTAATAACTGCAGCTCTTACTTACTCTAATCCTGATAAGAGGCTTTCTCAGCATTGCTCAGTTCCTCCTCGTGGAAACCAACTTAAGCGTGTTTCCATGAAAACAGTAATACCGCACATTCATATGTTCAAGTGGCCAGCCTTTGAACCGTGAAAAAAAACCATGTTTAACGTTTATTTCTCTGAAATCCACAGGCATGATCATTTTCTGAGAATGAAACCAGTGTGTAAACATATTTCCGACAGTACCATTTTCTTCAACGAACACCCGTTGCTGTTCAGTCTGGTAATGATTTGTAAGAAGAGTTATGACTTACGATGATTTTGTACATAACAAAATACCATAGTCACATTTACCCTGTCTCTTATTATATATTATATAATTACTTTAAAAGGCCCTCCAGTCTGCATGTCATGTTAGTGTCAGGCTGACCTCACACTATTGGTAACACTATCTTAGAAGTGTACCCTGGATTATTTAAATTCTTAATTATACTGTGATAGGATTTGACCATGTCCAAGGTCAAAAAAGCCATATTTAAGATATTTTGTGATAATAATAGTGCCGAATAAATGTTACATGAGACGACTGGTGGCTTATGGTTCATCCGGTTCATTATGTTCATGAAGAGTGAATAAACATTGCTCCATTAAACACACTTTGCAAACGTCAAGTGCCGTAAAATGAGCTCCTAAAAGGAAAAACAAAATAAATCCAAAACATTTGTAATGTAAATCCTACTGGAACAACAAAATTACCAGAAGTCATATCTTAACAGATTTTAGTTTTTCTTTAATTATTATTGCTAAAATCATGTAAAAAATTGGAGCCACTCGTCCAAAACATGCAAAGACATTATGTGAATCTCTTCTTACTGATAGGAAATGGCACAAATAAATAGAAAAAGCTCACACATTGGCATTTAAATAAAATCAGTTCACAGTTGCTGACACAGACTTATGAAAATAGTAAAAAAAAATCTTATCCTAGAGAACAACAGTAGTACAAAGACTTAGCTCATCATTCATTTCAATTACCTCCAACTGGGTCAATCGCTGTCCCTTTGGGTGTCAAACTGTTCCAGATTCACAGTGTGTGGTCAACAAGGAGGGTGACCCTGACCCACGTCCCTGTCTCTGTGTCCTGCACCAGAGAGACAGAGACCCTCATATGTGGAAAGGATAGTCCTGCAGGTAGTGCAGCAGAGGCTTCGGGAGTGGCAGATGGTCAGGGCACTTTGTGTGTCTGTTGATTGCGAGGCGCGTCAGGTGCTGTAAAGAAGAGAAGGCCTCTGGTTTGTGCAGGGGGCGCACCAGCTCCAGAGGCACTCCGCTGTCACTGTCCGTGTGCTTGGTGGGGTCAGGCTTTGTTTGTGGATGGATGTCATTAGACCTCTGGCGCTGTTTTGTGTGTCCGGAGGCTGTGTAGTTCTGTATGAGGCTGAGCACATCTGGGAAGGACTGCAGGTGAGGCAGGCCGGGGGAAATGGAGTCCAGCCAGAAAGAGCCCCTGCAGTATTTGATGCGAATGCTGGTGGGTCCACAGCGGGTCTTCACCGACAGGGCCAGCATGAACTGAGGGTGACTGCTGTCCCGCATTAGAAATGTGCCTTCAGACCTTTTTTGGAGAGCTTCTCGAGCTTCATTCGCAGAGATAGAGCCCCAGTACCAGCCTGAATTCAAACAAATAGTTTTAATATCAGCTTTTTTTTTTTTCTTTAACATGAAAGTAGTTTTGGTGAATATATCCATACAAATGGTATTACTAGAGGTAGGGTTTGATTCCTAGATTATTATATTATACCGCAAAGCCATGGGCAATGAAATATCTCCCCTCACCTAATATAATCCATTTCAAATAAATAAAAAGTATATGGGATAGATTTTTTTTTAAAACAGTCACATTTTTTCAATGAAGTACAATCTGAGTTCAGAGTCGGAGAGGCTGCCGGTGTACCTGAGGTCTGTAGGTACTGGAAGGTGGTGGTGATGCAGCGGAGATCATCTGCTGGGTCACAGGGCGGAGGAAAGGGCTGCGGGCGGCAGGAAGCTTGTCGCTCCTCATGATGAAAAATGGTCACTGCACGGGCAACCATTTCTGATTAACAGCAGCCCTGTTAATACACAGAACATTACCTGTTAGGTATTTAACAGAGATTTCTGTTAAAGCTCTGAACTACTTTAATAGGTCACTGTCCCAAGTAAATTATATATTTACAAAAACAACCAACCCCAATTGGTGAAAGATTCTTGTTAGGTATTTTTAGTAAGTAAAATATCACAGTTTGAAATTACTCTGTATTAAAATGTATAGAAGCTTCAAAATGTCCTTAATTGCTATATACTTGAATTATTTAGATGGGCATTATACCCCATTTCCAAATAATATTTCTTATAAAGTTGAATTATAATGCATATTAATGTACGCATAAGTAAGCATTATATAAGTATTATATGAGTCAGCTGGTCAATTTGGCTTGATTCTTTTCACTAAATATTTAGCTGGGTGGCTTGTACATTTAACCAAGTGATACATTTATATTAAAAAACCTTATCTTTATGCAAATCAATACAACACTTTATGTATTTATTTGTATAATTTATTTAAATTATATTATTCATTAGAATCTGAAAAGTAATTCATGACTGAAGCTTTCAGATAAATGAAGTGGTTCCCTCCCAATTGTAGTGGAGTAAAAGTAGCAGAAAATTAAAATACTAAAGTAAAGTACAAGAACCCCAAAACAGTTCTACTAGTAATGTATTGATCTGAGCTAATGTAGGCTAGACTACATTAAGTAGACTAGTGAAATAAACAAAAAACACACGACACAGAATAGGCCTTAAAAAGCCAAAAACAAATGAAAGGGTTTATAAAGTGTCACAATCATTCAGACATCAGGCAATATCATTGTATATTAATAATGCAATTCTAGATCAAACAGACTTTGGAAATCATGAAATCATTTTTATGTCACTCTTACCTTAAATCAAAGATTATCATAGAGATCACGACGATTTGAATAAAACTGCCTTGTGGATAAGACAGCAGTTTCTCAATTTAAATAATGAACAAATGCCGAATAATCTCTGCTGGGGTCGAAAAGATAATATATTCCGTGTTAAAACCTGCAACAGTCGTAAAAACCGAGAGGATATATCCGTGTGTGAGCTGTGGTGTGCTGAGAGTGTGTGTGCTGTGAGGACAGAAAACAGCTCGCTTCACTTTGGACTGACTGGTTCCAGGAATCTGATTCCAAGAAAGGTTTTGTGTTTCAGCGCCCGCAGTGACAGACAAGCAGCAGCTCCTCTGATCTCTGTCAACGCACATACTGTCAACACACTGCACTTCCGGTACGGCTTTCAAAATAAGAAACTGGTGACTTTGTTAAGAAAAGCTCTTTGGAGGTCTGGTGTTATAGACAAACCCATCCTAAAGCCTCTTTGAGAAATGAGAGAGCACCTTGGACATTTTAGTGTGTATTTCGATCATTACGATGTTTATTTTGTCATGCGATTTATCATGAAGAATTTTGAAATAAACTCACCTATTTAAAAAAAGAAATGGCTTGCAATGACTTTTAAGGCATTGTCTCATTATACAATGTCACGGTTATACACGATAAGACTCAATGTATTAGATACAGATTTAACTAATGCGGTGGGACTTTTGTGTCAGACTGCATACGTTTTAGCTTGTTGTGCCATACAATATTTATTATTATGATAATCTGTTTAATTATGTATTATTTATTTTGTAATATTGAACACATTAGGTCTCCATACAAATCTGAATTTGTTATCACACAATACAGACTTTATTTTGTGCAGAATTAAATGTGATGAGTTTTACATATATTTTTGTTGTTTTCCCTATCACCTGTTAGTTAACATTTTATTCTGAAGGCCAATAGCCTTACTTCCGGTAATGTTATAGTTACCTCTGTCTGTTTTGATGCAGTTGCAGGCGTTAAGGTTTGTAATGCCACATTTCATCCAATGGAAATGTCGCTTTTCACATTTGCATATCTGTGTACATGTTTAATAATTAGTTAAGTAATAATGAGTTCATATTTAGCTGTTTTTATCATTAACCAAGTATATTGTGTTTATTATTGTAGAGTAAACCACACATTGATAAGCACCCAAACACTACTTGTTATTTCTCTCTTCTAATAATGTTTTGAGCGTTAACCTTTCAGCCCATTTTTTTTCTTGTTGTGGGCTATTAGTGTAAAGACAATTACCTGCTAATGGTTATATACTGGAGGATTATTTTTCCTGGAAATGATTCAAACTGTGTCATGTCAGAAGTCAGTATGTTTTAACAAGGTTCATCATTACCCAGCCCACAGTTCCCGTGTTCAAAGATAACGAGCACTTGAAAGCTACCATTCAGCTCTGAACCTTGTTTCCAGGAAAATGTTTCACATAAAGCGTCTTTCCCCAGAGGAATGAAAGCAGCAGAAGTGCACAGCTGAAGGCTTCTGAGTACAGCGACTTCCTGGAAAACACACACAACCCATTGACCTCTACTACTGAGCCGTGATCCTTGCTGCTGCCTGCATGCACGTCTACAGGACACACACAAACACTCAGAGAAACAGAGAAATGAGGACACAAACACTAAAAAATACAGAAAATATTTTATTGTAGGGCCATGTAAAACAATAGCCTTCAGCTGAGTGTAGTCAAACCTCACCCAAGCGACTGAAGAAGGCAACTGTGAATGTGATGTGGAGGGATTTGCAATGAACAATGGGTAAAGCATAGGCTGACTAGAGAAAATATAAAGGATAATCCACCATAAAACAAACATTTAAAAGCCATTTCACGATGATTTTGATTACCTGAATCAGTATTAGTGACTGGTGATGTTAATTATTTCCTGAAGAGGAGCACAGAAACAGGAGAAGACAGATCTGATTGAGCATTTGCCTTCAACTTGGATTGGCAAATGAAAAATGTATTAATAAAATAGTATCCTATTAACATCCAGTTGTTTTAAGAGGGCTACACTTTGGTTTTTGTACAGAATAAACTAACAAGATATCATCTTTAAATGAGAGAGCTTTGAGGGGGGGCTTGAACTCCCCATTTACAGTCTTTAATGCTTAACTAAGCTAACTGCGGCTGGCTGTAGTTAATAAAGTAAAATCAGCAACGTCTTATCAATCTTCCTTTCCACCAATAAATCGAGTGATTGTATTTCCCCTATATGTCATATTATTTGCAATAATTTTCACAGTGTATTGTCTTCAGAGTTGGGTGTAACGCGTTACAAAGTAACGCGTTTACTGTAATACTATTACTTTTGTCGGTAACGGAGTAGTGTAACGCGTTACTTTTATAATTCAGTAATCACACTACAGTTACTAACATTGCCCCGACACGCGTTACTTCGTTACTTTTATAAAATCAGTCATGCACACTGACAGACAAGAGGGGTTTCCGCCGCAGGTTTCTATGTACGTAATCTGCGCGACTTGCGCGTCCACATCTCCACGTGCAGTGCTGCATAAACATGGCAGAGTCAGCGATAACTTTCGAGGGGTGGAGGTATGCCCATTATTTTGAGTTCGTCCGAAGAATAGACAGGAATGTGACGGTGAGGTGCAAACTGTGTCCAGGCCAGAAGCTGTTATCCACTGCTGCAAACACCACGTCAAACCTCAACAAACACCTGCAAAGAACACATGCTAAGGTGAAGCTAATAGCTAAGGACCCCCGAACCCAGAGTGAGGATGTTGTGAGTGCGCCGCCGCGGACTCCGAAGCAGCACAAATTAGAATTTGGAGGACCGGTAACCAAAGCAGAGATGGACAGGCTTGTAGCATCCTTCATAGTAGAGGTAATGTTGCCCATTTGCACAGTGGAATCACCATCGCATCGTTCGGAGATATACTGCGCAAAATACAGATAGCAGGAGACAGAGGACAGCCATAGTCAGAGCTATTTGGATCAGTCTTATGCGACAATGGAAACTGAACTAAAGAGAACATTTGAAACTTTAGCAGTCTGCGTGATCTGCCTGTAGGGAGGGGCGGGCCGGCCCTGCGAGTAAAGTAACGAGTAAAGTAACGAGTAAAGTAACGAGTTACTTTATGTAGAGAGTAACGAAGTAGTGTAATATATTACTTTTTTTTAAAGTAATATGTAATATGTAATATATTACTTTTTTTTAGTAACGACCCCATTTGTCTTGTTGAAGTCTATATCAAAGATGTATATTCACAGTGAGCTTTTAGAATCTGATACTCCATGTTTTAAATCGCTTTCCACATTACATGAAATGGAAATAATATATCTGCTGAGCATATTATTGTATACACATTTCCCTATAAGGTCTATAAGTATTTAGTATTTCTGGAACGTTTTGGATCTCCTCTACAAGTGATAATAAAGTACTGTGGGTTTGAAAAAGGTTTTGCTGCACAATAAGTTGTTATGACTGACACCCGGATAAGTGGACAAGAACGGTTAAATTATCAACTCTGTGGATGCATTTACATATAAACCTCAAAACTGCCGCTTGATTCACTATTTTAACACGTTGTATGTCAAATTCAATTTAATGTAATCTTAATAGACCAAAATATTTGTCAGCTTGCCTACAGTTACACTAACAGTGTTAACTTTAGAAGCTCTCTCTTACCACAAGAAAAGATATAGGCTATATATTTTCCACACTCTCCTTTTTTGCATGGTGGATCTACTTTCTCCGTTTGAAATGTCTGAAGGTAAAAAGGAGAAATTACTAGAAGCTAAACAATCAAATAACAAGTACATTCATAGATATAGTGTGGTGTGTTTGTGTACTCATGTATAATATATTGTGTGTGCATCTAACTTTCTTCCCCGTTTTCCCCAGCGCCCTTGATGAGGCGTTTGTTGCCCCTCTTCCCCCCCGGTCCGCGGGGCTTGGCAAAGGCCTGCTTCAAGGCGTGCTCCATCGGGTGCACCTCCTCGTACAGGTAGTCTTCTGTCAGGCCATCGCCATTGTCTATCTCCATCTACACACACAGAATAAAACACAGATTCATTTTGACTATGATAACCAGTTTGTAGATCAAATTTGGTGACGTGGTTTACTGTTTATCTCCACAGAGATATATTACAGATCATGCATCAGTTTGTTATTTTAGTCGTGGGTGATTTTGGTGATGTGAACCTTTTTGGTGACCTCCAGCTGATAGTCTTTCTCCACCTCGTCCAGTAGTCGGTTCTTACAGCTTGAATACAACATCCGCTCCTTGATGCTACAGGTGTAACCAGGCATCGAATATATGAACACTGGAAGAGATATAAAGTTGTTGTTTCTAACTTCACTGTATTATATTTGGTTATCATATCTGTTATGAAACAAAACCCTGTCTCAGACGCTACAAAAACACCCATAATCATTCCCAGCTTCTCTAAACAACACACTACACAAAGTACATCCAGTACTTACAAGAGGTGCTATCACTTGACCTTAATCAAATAGTAGTTTAAGCACTTGTGTAAAAACTACTCAACAGGAGCGACTTAAACCAACATTTTGATAACCATTGTGGTCACTGGGAAAAAAAAATGTAAACCTTTTTTATTCAACCAGTGGATAAATATTGCATACCAAAAACAGACATAGAGAAAAAACATGGAAATAGAGTAATAGAATATAATGCCTGAAAGCAGTAAAAAACACAACATTGACATACAGTACTGTCCTCTTATAAAGTCCATATGGTTAAAATGTTAGTATAACATTATCTATTACCACACTGCATAATGGGCCAACATTATCATTGATTTGGAGTGATTGTTGTGTCAAGCCTGACAAATGAAAGTCCAATATTCACTCTCCTCTTTGTGTTCTTAAAATATATGTTTCTTTATCTGCTAAATGTTACATTATGTTAAACAATCAGATTAAAGACAATGGTTCATGTTGCACACGACCCATTGTTATATAGGTCAAATTGCAGATTAGTGCATTAAGTTTGGGGTCTGCAACCAGATGGTGTAACTTGAATATGTGACGTTCTGTGAAATTCTACGACGAGCACACTGAAGATAAAAATGCAATTGACAGAAAGACTCACCCAGCGCCTCCTGCCGCTGGCCCTGGTGGGAATGTTTGAAGATGAAGAAGTGGTATCTAGGAGAATCTGAGGGAATCCTGTAGGGAAGCTCGTGGGTCTCTGTAGGTTTGGTGTGAACCAACTCAATGGTCTCTTTCTCTACATCCAGCCTCTGCAACACACACAAACAAGCTTTGTTCAGGGGTCAAGTCACGCACAGCCAATTTCACCACATTTAACTGACATACACTGATACACAGTTTGCTGCAAAACATATTCTGACAGCTTGTTTGTTTTGTATAAATAAGTTACATGATGCACGCTGAGCAATTAGTAAAAATGGGTTTTGTTGGGGCTCACCAGCTGTATGTAGTTGATGCGTCTCTGCTTGAGTTGCTGCAGAGCTCGCTTGGCCTCTTCTTGTAAGGGGAAGGCAAGACCTTGAAGAGTCTGCGCTCTTTTGTCTAAGCCAAACTCCATTGTGACCTGCAGGATAAAATAAACACAGAAACCTTGGTGTAAAAATTACATGACATGTAAATGAAATCCTAGTGATATTAGTAGATTTCTTCTTATAACTATTTAGTGTGAAAAAGAACAACATGACGCCTTCTCTCTGTTTATTTATTTATATTTATTGTCTCCCACTTGATTCTTCTTTTTACCTTCTCTTTATTCTAAATTAAAGGTAGGGTAGGTAAGTTTGAGAAACCGGCTCGAGATCGCTAGAATTTGAAAATACACAACCGGAGAAAATCTGCCACTTCCTTATAGAGCCCCTCCTCCAACACACACGAACGTGCACATGACCAATGAGGGCACGAGATAAGTTTGTGCACAGATGGAAGGCTGACAGGCAGGTAGGCCATCCAGTTATTTTAGCCGGGCCGGCTAAAATGATTGGTTGTGCTTTTTACAGTATTACGGCTTCCACAGATGACGTTTTTTTATGGATTTTTTGTCAAAGCACTTAAGATATTAATTGCTATCGGGATGTTAAGAGCATTCCATGGAATATAACAAAAAGTGTATCTCGAGCCGGTTTCTCAAACTTACCTACCCCACCTTTAAGTTTGACCTTTTATCTATTCATTCTTTAATTTTTTTATTTATGTTTATATGCTGTGTTACTAATGAGTGTCCTAAAGGGGGAAATAAATTCAATACTGTTTTCTTCTCAATTTAATGGAGTAGTAAAACATCGAAAAGGCTCACAGTGGAAAGTAGAGCACCGATATCTGAAATGTGTGGCAATTTGGCATCCAACTGGTGAAATGATTTGTTGTTATATTTGAATTTCAACTTTGAATTTGGACTCAAAAAGATTGCAACAAACCCTTGCTCGCGCTGTTGGAGTCCCAATTCGTCTACGCTCATCCTGTGGATATGAGAGGCAGTTTTGTAATCTCCTCTTGATACAGAAACGGTTAGGATTGTACTAGGAAGAAAGTGTACTTACCCACACAACTTTATCCTGCAGAAAGAAAGTAAAAGCATACAAAATAAGTACACATAATGTACGTTTGTGTTTGATATCATATTCAGACAGTTTGTATTGTTGATCTTGACCTCTGTGACTCTGATTCGTTGTAACTCCTGCTCGGCTGCTGTGAGCGGGGCGGGGGAGCAGCAGGAGGACATGTGGCGCAGGTATCCCTGGAAGCACAGATCGTCCTGCAAACACAAACAGAATGGTACTGAACCACCAACAGTTAACGATTTAATGATCAGTTGTCATGTTGGTGGGATCTTCCTCACCTCCACGGTGCCAAACATTTCATCTTTAATGTGACCTCCTCCAAACTCTTTCTTCAGGGTGGCGCGGGTCGCTGCATACACCATCTTCTGCCTCACCTAACGGGTGCCAAGACAGACAGGAGGATACAAGAAACTTCCATTACTATTTTGACTATTGATTACTTTTGAATGGATTTCTAGTCATTTTTCATGTGTTTTGTTGAGTGTTGTGTTAATAGTTTTTCATTTTTCTTTTAAAGATTATCTTTGATGCTTTTCCCCCTTTATTATTCACGACAGCTGAAGATAGACAGGAAAGAAGGAGAGAGGGGAGGGGAAACATGCATCAAAAGGCTTTGTGTTGAATACGAACCCTTCCTTACCCAAACTCAAACAGTGACACATCTTTTTTACAGACGTTTGTTATGCTCTTTGAACACCCAGGATGTTTGCAAAATGATGGTTGTGCAGAGTTTGACTGATTTTTTGATGGTTGTTGAGTGACCTTTTATCCTTTTCTGTTGCTTATTGTCTTTTCTATTTACATTGAGGTTATGTGTCACGTTAATGCCACACATTTAGAAAAATTGTTATTAAGAAAAGGAAGAAGTTTATTAATCTGTTGAAGGGGGGACATTTTATTCTGGAGTCCGCTTTGTTTTCTGTTAAGTTCTTAATCAGTTTCTGAAATGTTATAGTATATTTTAAAAGGTAGTGTCATTTTGGGATTATGTGACTACATCAGACATGTTGATGTGTCCAAGGCAGTTGTTCTGTAATACCATAAACAATAAATCATAAAGCCTTTTCTATTTAAATACTTTTCAATTGTGGTTATCAAAGCTTAGGTGTTATGGTAGTTCCAGGAAGAGTTTCATTTAGTTAAAAGTAATGCAGTTTACGTTTTTACATAGACTTTGAATGACTACATTTGATCAGTGACAGCATGCAGCCTCTCCTGACATACTGGTGATTGGTCAGGTGACCAGGCGATGAAGATCCATTCGTGCCCCTGTGCATTCTGGGAGTCCAGACGGTAGAGGATGTAGCAGGGTTCCTGAGGCGTGAGCAGAGGGAGCAGGAACTGGTCGTAATCCTTGTCCCAGCTGTACGCTGGCTCTCTGTATGAATCTAACACCAACTCCTCTGCAGACAAGACACACGTATCAGCATCTTCCAATTTTCAACAAGTCACCTGGAAGCTTACTAGTGTAAAACTTTCTTAACACTTAAGACATTTACTGTTTACCGTTTCTGATGACAATCTTCATTATTCGGATGGCACCTCCCCTCGCTCGGGCCAGAAATTCTTTCAGCTCCGATGTTGCTAAAGTAACCAGATATAAGGCAGACAAGACAAAACTGAGGATGGGGGGTTGAAAGCAAATGAGACAGAGTTAGGTAGGTAAGAACCTGAGACTCCACTTCAGGGAGAACATTTGATCCACTGCCAGATGGTCACGCCATCACCTATAGTGACTCACACAGGGACGTACTGCAGGTACCAAGAAACTTCAGTCTGAATAATAAACAGCCTCATTTTCCCCACAATTATCAAAACAAGGAATGGCAGTTTTAATACAGGAAACCAGGTTTCGTTATTTATTGCCCTCCCTGCTTCTTTCTCACCATGGTTACCAAACACAGCGGTCTCATAAATGATGTAAGGTCAGGTGAGAAAGGTGAGAGAGGTACGCTCCTGCCAATCCATCCCCTGACGCTCCAATTACAAAATGCCATAACACACATATACGTAGCTCTTAAACTAACCATAAAAGCCTTTTGGTGCTAAATGATTACAAATAACACAAAATAGAAAGACATTTGAACTGTTCATCGCTCATATACTGTACTTTTCTAAATGTGTATCCTTTAAAGCCCACAATCATAATAAATAAAAAATAAAACTTGATTTGAATGTAGATCCACAGGTTTATAATGTCAGTGAAGTTTATGGACCATCTGTAAATGCACTTTTACAGGATATTAGAGAATTGTATCCCCTGTGTGGATGTATTACATGCTGTGGCAAAGCTTAAAGTAAAAAAGTGAATGTGAAACAACTTCCACTTTAATTTGAAGCATCCAAAGTTAAACACAAAAACGTTTGTACAGAGTGAATGTACAGAAAATAACTAACCATTGATTCCGGTTTGGTGTGACATCTTTTGGCCGTCAGCTTCACACTCCTCTCACGCAGGAAGGACCAGGTCCAGGTGTGTGTCCTCGCTCCTCTCGCTCAGCAGGTAGCTGCCTCTCCACTGACAGCAGACAGATGGACCCATGCGCATCAGTGACATAAACGCCTCGAGGGTGACTCGGGAGAATCCTCACACTTGAAATACAATCTGCGGAACTGTGGCTGATGAGTAATAACGAAGCTGTCAGTGGATATGCCGGCCTCACCACTGATCTAAAACTCTTTGCATATCGATGACCACAACTTTAACAGTCTCTCTGGGGGACCATCTCTCAAGTCACACACTGTCCTGCACTGTACTGTGTGTGAGGTCATGTAGAAATCCACCACTCATGACATCAGTGGTCAGTACAGGGTTTTCAGATGCTGTCAAAGCGCCACATGTAATGACATTTTATCACTGTTTGACATAGAGTTTCTGATCAGCTCAGACCGACTGCATCATCTCAAATTCCAGCCACCAGTCCACCGAAATGTGAAACTGAGCAACAATCTGTCTGAAACATTTCATGGAGCAATAATGGCTGGTTTTGTGTTTCTGTTCATGATAGTGGATATTTTTTGTTAATTTTGATGGCATACCTTTGTTAAATAGTTCATAAAAGGAAGATGGATGTGTACCTGAAGCGACAACAGCACTGCACTTAAATATAAGTGTGAGATTTCTCTCATACACCTTTTATCCCAAAATGTGAGCTATAAAGAGCACCAGATGATTTGTGTGAAGACTATAGAGTTGGCTACAGACAGTACTAATGGATTCATTACAGGCCGCTTAAATAAACACAAACAAACGCACCGAGGTAACACACACAAGATAGATCAGTGTGTATGTTAAGGGGGAGTGAGACATTTTTACAGTTGTAATAAAGTGTGCGCCAAATGCTCTAACTGTCTCACCTTTATCTCTTTACACGTCTTTCATGCACACATGCACATACAAGGGAGGTGAGAGAAAGATAAGTGTGTACCTGTGAGGTCACCTGTGAGGGGATCATCTATTATTCACTCAGTGGTGAGTACACAACCCAAGCATCTATACATTATTCAACAGAGCCCCCCCCCCCCTTCCTCTACTTCTGGAAGGCACTTACAGAGCACCAAAAAAAAGAAAAACACCCATTCATTAAATTGATTAAAACTGCCTGCGTTTCTCACACGCCTGCAGGTGTGTTCACAGATTGGTTTACTGATAGAGAAACTCGTGTTTGCTTTTGTAAAGTGAGATCATGTCAGTAGAGTGTTAATTGTTCTTAGAATAATCAATATACTAATCCTATAATTGTGTTTATTCATTGTGTTTAAGGTTGTTGTTTTTACCATACAATGAGAATCCCATTAATACCAGCTTGTTTTTAAATAGCACTGTGTAAATTGTTCTAAGTAATAGTTTTTTCAAGCACAAATGACCTAAATGTACCTACTTTCAGCTTCTGACTTGTAAGGGTTTGGTGTTTTTGGTCTATAATGAAAGTAAACTAAATAACATTGGCAAAGTAAGGGACGGGAAGAAATGACTTTGTGATTCATAGTTTGACCCATCTTCTGAAATGTTATATTTTTTGTCAAAACAAGCTATTAAATCAATTAGATTACATTAATAAATATTGTATAATACATTAAGATGTATTTGATGTATGATACAACTCAGAATAAAGGAGAAAAGAAAAAGTTTATTCATCTAAGACATTTTATTATAAAATGTTCAGACAATAACAAAAGTAAAAATTAACATGAAATATAAAAACAGGCCTAGAATGCCCAATGCGTGTAGATGTACCTCAAACAACATTAAAAACCTAAAGTTTGTGGGATATTATTCAGTCACAGCAGGATCCACACGGTTAAAATACTGAAGGTAAAAAGTTTGAAATGTTTTAAAAACCACAAGGACACAGGTCCAAAACGTAATCCTTCATCTCTGCATGATTCCACCGAGGACTCACTCTGATGAACGTCCCTCTATGAGTCATCAATACACGGGAGCCAAAAAGTCTGTTAAAAGAAGAGAAAGAGTTATGAAGTGGCCCTTTATTCGCAGTTTGTCTAACAGCAGCTACTGAACATGAGGCTTAATAAGTGAGACCTCACCATGTTAGTGCAGGCGCTGGCAAACGTCATGTATCTGGGGTTGAACTGTAGCGTGTTGATGGGTCCTGAGTGTTTCCCGTCCAGCACAGCCACCTTCATCCCGCTCTCAGTGCTCCAGACATGGACTCTCCCATCCTCTGAGCCTGCACAACAAGACATAACTTAAATAGAGATGCAGGGTATACATCTGGCCTATAAATGGGAAACATTATATTATTCAGATACTAATATTATTTCCAAAAATGTATCAGGCATTAGCACGAAACCCCATTGCTTTCCTTGAATCAACAAGCACAGCCTCTACACATTCTGATATAGTAGGTACACATCTTTAAAGTTAAATGTGTCATCCATTCATAAACATGTATTGTATAGACATTGACATGACTAATAAAAAAAAAAATTGTCATACATTTAATTGGAATTGCAAAATGCTGTGAAAAAGCTAATAAAGACGTTTTTTTCATGTAGTTTAATAGAAACATTTATGAAATCTTAATAAACTCTAAACTGTTTATTCTGTTGTCAATATGGTTAGGTTATGGAATAATTATTCACCCGTCTTTACTCACAACAAGCCTTTCTTGAACTTGGGTATGCATCAACTAAAGGTTATGAGCTTCTTTAAAAAAAAACTAAAATGGGAAATGATTTGCTATTTAATCAGAATTGGCCATGAGTGATTAATGATTGTTGGTATCAGCTGAGAAGAAAATCCATATTGTGTATCCCCAATTTACCACACAGGTGCAACAGAGATCTTACAGGTAGAGACTAAAATATTAAACATGATGTAGTTCGTCTTACCGATCATGACAAACTGAGAGTCAGGAGTGAAGCAGGCCTCCAGGGAGATGCCTTTACTGTTGTTGTAGCCCTTAAAATAAACAGTAAAATTAATAGATAGAAAACACTTTTAAAAAATCACACTCATTTATACACAGGTGTAATTCAGTTGGTTAACAGCAATGTGATGTGATAGCTTTACGTCTTACAGAAAAAGTATGCAGCACAGATCCATTGAAAGCATTTAGGACACGAATTATCCCTCCGTTTGTTGAGATGAGAATTTGTTTCCCATCGTTACTGAATTTGACTCCAGTCAAGTCACAGGCGCGATTGAACTTTGTCTCAAATGAGGCAAAGGGACCCTTTTAACAGAGAGATTAGATGTATTATAATACAGTATAACAGGGGAAAAAATGTATCAGGGATATGAATATCAAGGTTCAAGGTTCAAGGTTCTTTATTGTCAATCTGACATAGCTACAGAGTAATTATGCAGTTGAAAATCTTATGTCACAGGCTTCTCCAACAATGCAACATAATAACATAACATAATAACAATAAGAGCATGAGCAATACAAAAATAATAATAGTTATAAAAATGAAATAAAGTTATGATGTGGAATAGTGCAGTATGAGTCTATATACAAGTTATTGGAATGATATATATATATTAGGTATTAGATACATACTACTGAGTAGCCTTTATTTATTTATTTATTTATCCTGTGTACATGCAGGGATGCACAAGCAAACCACAGACACATCGATTTGCCTTTTACCTTGTCAAAAGCACGCAGGTCGTATAGTTTGATGGCCTGTGATTCCACTCCTGCAGCAAATATCAGCCCATCAGGGTCGAAGGAACAAACAGGTTTCCCCAGTGGATTAGTCAAACCCTGAAACATACAAAGGCATTGGAAATTGGTTATATGGTTTAAAAAGCTTGGGATTGAATCATTCCTATACAAATGCTGTTTTTATAATACAGATATAGGCCACGGATAGCCGACAGCTTATTCTAGACCACTGCCAAATTTGAAAATTCACCGAAACCACTGCTATGCTGTGTCTCCGTACCGTTCTTACACTACCTACGTTACACTATCTGTAAACAGCATAAAACTGATTTATTATAACTTGAAAATACAGTAAACTGTTTCCTTCCATTAAGTTTGTTTGTTTGTAGCCTTTATTTAACCAGGTAAAATCCCATTGAGATCAACGATCTCTTTTTCAAACCTGCTAGTCTCTGTTTAAAGTTAATGTCTTACAGAATTGTGGGAAGATCCAAGTGTTCCATGGTTGCTAAATCAGGTCTGGGGACACCCAGTGGTCACAGGACTAATGTTTCTTAAAAGGTGTACAGTGACTATCTTACAGTGATCTAAGTACCTTCATGCTTATTAAACAGCTGTAACACTGTCTAAAAGCTGTACAAGTTTACTAAGCAGTAGCTGTTATTATACACTTCAGTAACTGCCTACTGAGAGAAGAGGAAGTGTCATTTTCCAGCCTGACGTACTACTTGACAGTTTGGAGCGCGCAGATCCCAGATCCGGATCGTTTTGTCCAAAGAGCCCGAGATAAATGTATCGTCCACTGGTGACATGGAGAGAGCTATAACCCTACAATTGAGATTTTTGTTGAGACAAAACAAGACATTTGATTACAGGAAATAGTGATGGATATTATTTTCATATATTTTATGGATATTGAAAATAATTGATGGTTGCAGCTTGTGTAGATAGTTTAATGGCAATGTTTCCCTGGTGTGCACACTTTGTATTTAGAATGAGTTTGTTAATGGAAACATATACAGTATCTTTGTCCACATCCATCTACAGCAAACAGTCCCACATTTTATCCTTCTTTTTTACTCACCTTGCAGTGTGACCAGGGAAATACCTGATGTACTGGTTGTCAGTAAGTGAAAGGTATCGGATGGTATCTAGAACAAAATAATATTTCATTGGCAAATCATCAAGAGAACGTATGTGCAATTTATTTTGAGTTCATCATGTTTGGTTGCTTTGTGTCAGCAGCTGACTGTCAGTACTCAGTAATTACCGTCTAGTTTGTTGGAGCTGTAGACCACTGTCTGTGTATCTCCATGTGTGTAGCGGATCAGATCTACTCCATACTTCTTGCTGTAGAGGGTCCCTTTAGGTCTGAGAAAGGAAAGAATATTTAAACACGTTAATAACTTGATCAGCTGGTGAACCGCACTAAATACGCTGCACTGCCATGGTCCACACACACTATATGGACATTCATATTCACAATCTGTATATGAGAATATGGGTCATTCCCATATATTTGGGGCGCAAATGCATAAAACGGCTATATCTTGTTTTTAAATGTAATATTATTGGCCACTTACTTTCCCTCTCGGATGTCATACAACACAATGCAGTCGTCGTCGCTGCTTGATATTGCATGTTCACCATCTGGGCTGAAGTCCACACAGTTGACTTTTTGGGAATTTTGTCGAAATGTTCTGGCAACCCTGAAACTCCGAAACACGCTGTCTGTGATCTTCATGTCTGCAGCTTTTCATTCAAAAATAATACACTGTGTAAAACATACAAGTGGACATTTTTATCAGCTCAGTTTTTAAAGAAACCTGCTTGTCAACACTAGTCGAGCGAAACATGAGTAAAAGCGCCTAAGATCCTTCATTCAAATGACATAAATACATTTTCAGATAAAAACAAGCGGATAAGGGCTGCAGATATAAAGCAACACGAGCTGAAAGGGAAGCGTTTGGTTTGAAAATCTTCATCTACCAGAGGGGCGGTGCCATCCAATCGCCATTACATTTAGATGTTTCAACAAACCGGGCAGTGGCGGGAAGAGAAACGAGCATACATGTTGGAAAAAAACGGAAGCACTGCATACACCACAGGAAATGGTGTCTTGTTGCATCGTTACAACGTTTTTCTTTTAAAACTGGTTTAAAAAGGAATTATGCTTTGTCTATGCTTGAACATGATCACGGTTATACATATTCAAACATTGGACTGTTGTGTTGTATTCCTTGTTTATAGTTAAAATACATATCCTACGCTTTTATTCTGAAGTGTGCGGTTTGCAATCCGTCAAAAACGAAGAGAAGAAGAAGAAGAAGATGAAGTGTGCTTCCCGGGCCATCCGGAAGTCACCGGAAACGGCAAACATGTGTCACACTGTCCTCTGAAGTTTATGTTTGTAAGCTGCTAGTGTGTAGCCGACTGACCAAAGCGACCGTGTAGCTCCATCCACAATGAACAGCTGTAGGAGAATAGCCTGTAGTGGCTGGAGGTCCGGCCTGAACACCGTCTTCTCCCGGGTCACAGCCCCGTCCCTCAGCCGGAGCCAGGCCACCTCCGCTGCCCCAGACCCCGACACGGGAGAGAAACCCCGGCTTAGAGCTATCGACCTGGCGAAGGAGGTCCAGCAGGAGAAGACGAAGCCCCCGGTGGTGGGACAGAGGAAGAAGCCCCAGGCGGAGGCGTCGAGACCAGCGGAGGCAGAGACTCCTCCGCCGCCGTCCGGGCAGCAGAAGAGGGTGATGGAGCTGAAACGGTTCACTCTGCAACTGCAACAAGTTCATCCCAACGTGCTGGCCAAACACCTGCTCAGAGGTGTGCTGTACAAGGACAAAGATGTGGTGATCACCAACAAACCTTATGGAGTTCCTGTCAAAGGTAAACTATCAATAGTTGAAGACAATCAAACATATTTAAAATCTAAGTTCAGTCAAAGAGAGTTTTGGGACAACACTTTGGTAAGGAAAATTCATAAATGTATGGTTATTTCCTTAGAGCTAATACGATTAGTTGATTAATCCATTGGTGTGTTATTGCGAGAAGATATATATATATAAAATGTTAAATTAAAATGCTTGATTTCTCAGTTTTTAACCAGCTTGATAGATGGCTGTTTTAGAGATTTCCCATTTGTTAAACTTCAACTGATTTTTTATTTTTTTATTTAATTTAATGTAAATGGTCACTACATGTTTTGAAAGCCAGCATATTGTATTACAACGTATTGTTTTGTACTGTCCACAACTCAAACATTTAATTTAAAATAAGATGCAACAACTGAAACAACTACATATTTTATATTTTTGTTAAATAATTAACTTAAAATATGAATTAATTATGTTTTGTACAGTCTATTGGGTGGACAGAACCATCAACTATTAATTTGCTTAATTGGCTGTCTGGAATTCCATGCAAATCTGCCATTATACTCTATGCACAATGTGCGAAAAGATAATAAGCCAATATAAGCCCATTACATAATTATGTGTCTGCTGATATTCATCATAATGGTAACTACTGACAGTGTAGTATTGCAGTATTTGAATAGTTTTGATCGTTACAATATTTTCATAAATGTAAAATCCTACTGACATTGGACTGCCTGGACCTGAATACATGTGTCTTTGCTGTTGCTGTTCTCAGATGATTGCGGGGGAACATCCATCTCCTCTGTGCTGCCTGTTCTCTCCAAAATGATGGATGGGTTGAAGATGAAGTCTGATTCTCAGCTGATCCCATGTCTGCGGCTGGAGAAGGAGACAACAGGAGTGTTCCTGCTGGCCAGGAGTGAAGAAGTAGTGCAGCACATACGCAGCCTTGTCACAAATAACCAAGTGCAGAGAAAATACTGGTAAGAGAAGTAGGACATAACACTGCAGTGCATACCCTTTTATCTTTGATCTGATGTCACAGAAATACATGTCTGTGACTGTGAAACTTTAACTCGGGTAAACAATTGAACAAACTTCATAGGCAGTACCAAATAATCAATGTGTATACACAATTTCACAATTTTTAACATAAATGGATTTTGATGTATGCTTAATCCCAGGATGAATTTAGATTTGTTGTAATAGTCTGGGATATGTCAATGATAGGAATGGAGCAGGAAGTTAGCATTAGATGCCTCATAAAGCAACCATGAGAAACTGGTTCAATCTGGTGGAAAACTGTAAAAATTACAACATTGAAACTAGCGTTGCGGATGTAAAGATGTATATGCAAATGTTGACGTTTTGCTGTAATTGCTGTGGGATCAGAAATTGTGTCTTTTAATGAGGACATCTTTGTCCATAAGAGTCTCTGAGTGTCTGTCTTTTTGCTGCACAGTTTATTATAAACTTATTATATTATCCCTAGTGATGCACAATGGTTAAAGATCTTTGTGAGTCTTAACATTTTCACTGTTCCTCCTCAGGGTGGTCTTACTGGGTGTACCTGTTCCATCTGAAGGAGTGATCGACATCCCCATCATAGAGAAAGAGGTCCCAGGCCCTCGCCCGCACTACAAGGTGACTCTTCATTAAAAATGTGTCAATTAGTTTTTTCAGCTGACAGAAAATGAAATCTAAATTTGATAATGAATTGTCGTTAAAGTTGTGAGTATGCATACCAGTTGCAGCTTTACAATTACAGAGAGCTGCTACAGTATAGTATGTTTGCTATTGGTCACATTGTGTTAACTTAGTAGACTTTTGCTATTTACAGTTGCTTTTAGTAAAAAAAGTCGAATATCTTTAAATATTAAAATAATTATCATTCTTGGTATCACTCTTCTATAAACCTTTTCTTTTATTTCAGATGGCACTAAGTCCTCTTTTCAGAGTGAGTGAAACAGGCGAAGGTGTGACCAAAGTCCGCGCCAATCGGCAATCCCAGCCTGCAGTAACCAAGTACAAAGTGTTGGACAGCGGCAGTGGCTGCAGCCTCGTGGAGCTCCAGCCTTTAACTGGTAAGATGGGTGTTCCTTCTTTTACCAGGTTGCCATTTCAGCTTGTCAAATTTCCTTTCAAGAAGACTGGATACATTTTTTCAACACAATGTTCTTCTTTCATCCACAGAAGTGAAGCACCAGATGAGAGTTCACATGGCACTTGGTCTGACATGCCCCATTCTTGGAGACCACAAATATTCCCACTCAAGCATACTGGCTCCTCAGGTAAGATGTTTACATTGTAACACAGAGACAAGACAACATTTGCTCCCAATTACAAATAGAAAATGACCCTTAAGGAAGAGTGTAATATCATCAGCTGCATTTTGACAAGGGGACAAACAGAGGCATATCCGTTGTTAAAGCTGTACTTTGATAGGTCCCTGCGCTTCATTAACCCATTATATAATAATAATTGCCTAATAGAAGTTGTATTAAATGTACCATTGCTGTATGTCAAATAGTTTAAAACAAATTCCTAAACATGTTGTAGATGTTTTCATTTGGAATCAACTTTCCCAGATTATGCAAATCACACATGAATGTTTTAATCGCCTCTAGTTGTAAACAGCTACTGGTTCTACAGTAGAGGTAGAGAAGCCAAAATAATCAGATCAGAAATAATGTAAATAGCTGCTAACAGCCAACTGATCGTACGCCTTATATGATCTATCTTTCGCCCTTGGTGGCGGAAATTGAAAATAAGAAGTAACCTGTGTGGTGATAAGGCTGATAAACCTCAACAGGAGACAGTGAGATGTGTCACATGTATATCCTTGAATTCTTTATAAATGTATTTCAACTGTAAGTCTTTGTGCTGGGGAAGAGCAGCATCCTTTAATGTCATCTCCCTCCCAGTTAACAAACCAGCTACTCTTAATATGACTGATCCTCAAACCCACCCTATTGGCATTATAAATCTGATGGATGATTCTTTAATTCAACATGTCATGTTGACTTTTGGTTTGCTTTCACTTGGGTATATAATTAAAAATGTATTAACAGATTATGAGGATCAACATTTCTGCAAGAGCCCAGTTTCTCTCACTCAGTATGTGCACCTTTGATAAGTAACACATTTGTTCATTTTGGTGCGCAGAAATTACCGGATCGTGTACTGGGAAAGCTTGGACTGGAGCAAAGCAAGGTCCGCAATCTTCCTCTTCACGTGCTCGCTCGACAGCTGACGCTGGCAGGAAACACACAAGACATCAACGTGACCTGTCCCCTGCCTAAATACTTCAAACAGACGTTGAAACAACTGCATTTAACGTTTTCGGATGAAAAGGACCAGCTATAACCACCTTTTAGTTTTTTTGTTAGCAATCCAAAGGATGTATAAATGCAGTGAGCAACTGCTGTAAAGGATTTCAGCTGCAACATGGGACAGGAGTGCACCATTTAAGTTAAATGGGAAATTAAATAATATCAAGCTTTGTAAATGTGAGATGCAAAATTATCAAACGGAAAATGTGCAGTGCTATACAACTCGTTTTTTAGTAATAAACAAAAGCAGAACTGTATTACAACTATTTTTTTTCAATGTAGTAAATCCAAATGTACACGTCATATCAAGGGAGGCATAGCCAGGCTGCTGTTGGTGTGACAAGTCATCTTTAAAAAAGGCCCACAAATAATCCATACTTCAAAAGTCAGAGTTGCATTTCCACAAACAGTGCTAAATTACTTTCACTTTGCTTGTCATGAGTTTGGATACAAGGATTAATATTAAGCTAAATAAATGTTTTTTCATCTGCATGTCCTGTTTAATAACCCACTATTCATACATACAGGAATAAGTTGGCAAATATCCTTGATGGTTGTTTAAATCACTAGCTATGACCTGAGAAAAAAAGTTCCTAATCTCCTGAACGACCACAATATAGCACTTTGACCTTGTA